GAAACCCCTCCACAAATAGGTATCCCCTTAGGTGAGAGAGTGCATAAAATGAGGGTTGAGGGATGAATGGAGGTGCCTGCAGAGGCAAGGGAGCTGAGTGAGGAAGGACCGAGAGTAGTTAGTAGTCCCCCACGAAGGCCAACGAAGACAAAGAAGACTCAGAAGGATGTCGATTCTTCTGAGAAAAAGAAAGGGAAAAAGAGACTCGCAGCAGAAGAGGGTCCAAACAGTCCTCTGCCAAAACCCAAGAAGAAGAAATCCAAGAAAACCCAACCCACAGAGGTTGAGGTCACAGAGGCCGAGGTACAAGAAGGCCCGGCAGAGGCTGTACCCAAGCGTAGAAGGTTGCACAAGACTGTTGTCGAAGAGTCCCCCTTTGAGAAAATACAAGATGTAATCTTCGATCTCAGACAGAGCTTTACAGCACCCACAGAGGTGGCAGATTTGGGGACAGAAGTCGTCCTAGACGACGAAGAAGAAGAATTGGAGTTAGAAGAGGGCGAAAAAGATGCCAAAGGCACACATCCAAGCCCCCCTCCTAGTGCAACCCACATTGCTAGGAACCCTGTTCTAGAGGGAACCCCTATTGAAGAAAGCGTGCACATACTGAACCCCGAACCAACAAACCTCGCAGAGGACATTCTTTCGTCCTCTGTCGAATGCACAATTCGGGAACCTCATTCTACTCCATCATCCTCTCAAAAGGATGGTATTTTTAAAACCATTCGTCCAAGGACTCGACACTACAAAGAGAGGCATATGTTGCCCCTTCACACATGAGTGAACCACCAAGTCATGCTTCAGAGGCATGCGAGAGATTCACCGAGACTGCGGGTCTAGAACGCCCAAAGTCTCTGCTCCATCCCTCTGCCGAGTTAGGCTCTGAACCTATTAGGCACGAAATCGACAGAACACCAGTAGGCTCTCCAATTGGGGATGTCCGAGGATCTGGTGGAAGTCCCCGAGATGACACCGTCAAAACAGTCACTGAGGGCGCCTTACACTCCAAGGCAGTAGGTCACCATGTGTTGGTGATCTAGGTTCCCCGAGTGCCTATGTGACGAAGGAGGAGTTACAAACCTTCGCCACAGAGGTATTCAAGAGGATGGATGAGTTGAAAAGCTTGTTCTCCTCCTCACCGGCAACAGAGGCTCTTACACCTCTAACAGAGGCTCTGAAGGAGTTGACTTCCACAACTTCTGAGCTCAAGACGACTTTATCAGCCCTTCAGAGCTCTGTCCTCAAGAAAGACGATCTAACAGAAGCCTTTAGCGCGCTGTCTCTCAACCCTTCTTCAATCAATACTCTCAAGACAGAACTGACAGAGGTCGCCGCCCAATATGCTGCAGATTTGATTTCCGCTGGCTACACCAACTACTCTGCCTTCAAGGATGAAATCAAAGAGATGTTCTCCTCTGCGATTACCTTAGGCATCGACTCTTCATCCTCCAGGGCTAACATTAACCATCTAGCCACTCGCAGAGAGCTAGACGCAATGGTTGAGGCCCTTGGAGAGACCGTACGGAAACATCACGATTATCTTCTCAAAGAGGCCCGAGCTACAAACGAATCTATAAGAGACTGCACAAAGAAACTTGTCACAGAGGGTAACTTGTTCAGAAACGAAGTCTATCGATATGTGTCTAAAATGAAATGGGCCACAGAGATTGACATCAATACCGCCACTGTGAATGCTGAAATGGTCATTGAGAAGATGGAGAAAGCGGCCTCCAAAGTTCTCAGACGCTTGAAGAAGGCTCCCCTCACATCGTGCAAGGCAGAGGCCACTCATATCCATGACGATCAAGGAGGCAATGACCATGATCGTCATGAGGGGGAGAAGAAGACAAAGGAGCCAAAGAAATCGACTTATACCAAACCACTCAAAATAGTGGATTCTGCTACAGCCCTGTTCTCCAAAGACAAATCTTCAGAGCCTACGGGGAAAGGCAAGGGTAAAGCGGTAGATGTGTCGCCAAAGAAAGGGTCTAGCTCCGATTCAGTGGAGGAAATCAATGAAGAAGAATATGATGACCCTGATCTGGTTCAAGCACTCAAGACGTCTTTGGCAGAGACTCGAATGAGGCAAGGAAAAGCTCCTATCGCCAAAATCGGAGAAGGCTCTTCTAACTTGCAAAGATACCAGAAGAGACGTCCATGGGTACGTTCGACGCTCTGGTAACTGTCAAGCCAATCCTACCAGAGGGGTCTACCCAGAGGCCTATACTAGAAGAAGAAACCAGAACGCCAGAGTCTACAACAGTGGGGAGGGTCTCTGAGATTATTGACTCGATGAACAAGATTCCTACGCAGAAGGTGCGTACAGAGCCCGTAACCACTGTTGAAGAGATTTTGCAGTGGCGTTACTCATCCATGGACACAGAGCCCCCTTACAATCCAGAGCTAACTGGAATGTCCTCTGTCGAAGCAAAGTTCCATTTCTCAAAACTCACCAAGCCACCAGTGCAGGTCTTCTCAGAGCATGTTATTCGTTCACTTGAAACCATCTCTCCGCGCACCATGCTGAAGAAGACTGTGCAGTACACCCAATATACGGTGAAGAGGGATGATGGCAACCTCTATACTTTCACAGATGCTGATCTCCATAACCTGTGCATGTTCGATCTAATCTTCTTGTACAAAATCCTAAACAAGTACATGGAGAGGAGGTCAAGCTACTCGATTTCTCTCAGAAGGCTGAATGAGGTGATGCATGCTCAAGTCAAACTTTACAGCCAGAAAGACTTCGACATTGCAATGAGGTTGGCCCAGCCAGAGCTAAAGATCACTCCTCCAAAGATCAGACTTGTTTGGCTGCATAGGTTCCATCCCAACACTATTATCCACAATCCCATCTTTGGGTTTGTTTTCTTGGATAGGGATGAGATCCTAAGATTCTTCGATCCGAAAGAGGCGCACAAGTATTCTACAGAGTCCCTCGAATGGGTGTTCAACCTGGTGGTGGCAGAGGTGCAGAAAGGGCGTATAAGGGCGGATGAAGTAACGAACCTTCTGGAAACAATCAAGATACAAGTCTCTTTCAGAGAATGGATCTTCAAAGTCTACAAAACTGTCAAGACTGATCTGCAATATGTTGTAGACGATTATCCAGACTCTGCTGTGGAGTAAACTCTTGTAATAGTGTAGGCCTGCACAATCTTTTAATTCGTTCATTAATGTAATTCTTTTTCATAGGATGAGTTTAATCTCCTCTTGTATTTTTTCATAAGTCAATTCTTGCACCCATTTATCCAAAATTACATTTTCATACTTAGGGGGAGATTGTTAGCTCCATTATTCATCTCTTGTAAAAGTATAGAAAAAGTATATCGCAAGTCTTGACAGAAGGATAACTCCATAGAAGACAACAGAGGACTAACGACAGAAGCCTTATGTTCGAGCAAGTAAAGTGTGACATAACCTCTGATGTCTCTCACAGAGGTTATGGAAAATGGTCCTCTGTCAAAAAGAACATGCAAGGCATTTACAGCAGAGCCTCTGAGATGGCTCACAGAGGGTCTGCGGATTTCGTCTTTTATGAAGTTTCTGTTCCAACAGTTTTCAAAGGTTGTTAGCCGCATGTGCTTCTCACGTGACTAGGACTTAATCGACTTTGTTTGGACGGCTCAGATGAAGACACACGTCAATATCTTGTCTCTTAGGTCGTTAGGAACTAGTATAAATAGCGGATAGGACCTTTGTAATCAGAGTGCTTCCTGTATTGTAATCGTCAAATTTTCAATTGAATTGATTGAAAAACCTTTGAAGCAATTCTCCTATATTCATCTTCTTCCTCATTTAAACTGTGTGTTCTTGGTGTATTTACTCTGTTTTTGCTCAAATTATTGTTTCCGCTGCACTTTAATCGTTTTAGAGTTCATTCAGAGTATTAGATCAATATCAAAGTTGAATTTCAGATCCGACAATTCATGTGATTGAAGTGTCCCGATTACACTTTCTAATGATAGAGTGGAGAGAGATCCTGTGATTCTTCTATTGCTACTACAATATATTCAAACCTTCTTGTAAGACTTCTGAGAATTTTTTCAACAATTCTTCTATCGTCAATCATTTACCCATTAAGCTTCATCTTATTAGTAATAACAATTACCCGATTGTAGAAATCTTCCATGCTTTCATTCTCTTTCATTCGAAGACCATCAAATTCACAGCGTAAAGTCTGAAGACAAACTATTTTCACCATGTCTTCCCCTCTATAGGTTCTATAACGAGTATCCTAGGCATATTTGGAAGAATTACATGTTGATATCCTCTCAAAATTCGTTTCTTCGACTGCTTGAAAAATGAAAAATAAAGCCTTTTTGTCTTTCTTTTTCATTTCGTTGGTTTGTGTAACTTGTTGGGGTGTAAGATCGCCTGTGATTATAGGTTCTTGTATCCCATCTTCTATGAAACTCCAAAAATCTTGTGATTCAAACATAACCCTCATATGAATGCTCCAATGATAATAATTTCTGCCATTCAATTTTGGAAGTTGGGGTTGTAGGATACTGTTACTGCTTGATGCCATTGATGCAATCCTTCTATGAAACCCTTGCTCTGATACCACTTTGATGAATTGATATCAAAACAGAGACAAACCTAGGTATACGATCAATGAATTTTCTTTATTAATTTCATAATTGATCGAATAGAACAATAAATTTCCAGTCTACACAATATTTATACAAACATAAAAGAGAGTCGGTTAATAGAAACCGACTATGACCCAATCATCACGACTCTTAATTAAACGTCACACCCCTACGATTTATTAATACATAATTATAATAATTATAAGTCTAGACTACTAATTCAATAAGACAGAGCATGCAAATGAGGCCTTTAAGTTTATGTTGTGATTCAGCGTTATCCTTGGTGTAATTGAATTTATGTGCCTTCTATTCTTCTTATATATTACCCAAAAACCCTCACGTGCAACAACCCAAACCTCCCTTGCAGTTGCTACAAGATTCAGAAGGTTCACATATGATGAGATAATGAAGGTATCTCATAAATTTAGAGAAGGGATTGGACGAGGTGGTGGTGGTATTGTGTACAAAGGCATACTGCCTGACACCCGAGAGGTAGCAATTAAACGACTAAATGAGGTTGGCCAGGGAGAAGCAGAATTTCTAGCAGAAATGAACATAATTGGGAAGATAAATCATATAAACTTGATAGAAACCTATGGATATTATGCTGAGGGAAAGCATAGGATCTTGATCTATGAGTTAATGCAGAGTGGCTCATTAGCTAAGAACTTAAGTGCAAATCAGCTTGATTGGCGGAAGAGGTTTGAAATTGCAATAGGTGTGGCCAAAGGGTTAGCTTATCTACATGAAGAATGCTTGGAGTGGGTTTTGTACTGTGATGTTAAACCACAAAACGTATTGTTGGATGCTGATTACAATCCAAAAATGGCATATTTTGGCTTGTCCAAGCTATTCAACAAAGGTGCAACAGAAAATTTCATATTTTCGAAGATACGAGGTACTAGAGGGTATATGGCTCCAAAATAGGTGTTTAATCTTCCAATTACCACAAAAGTGGATGTTTATAGCTACGGGATGGTTGTGCTTAGAGATGGTAACAGGTCGGAGTCCAACATGTGATCAAACAAGTGATGATAACCAAAGGGTGGAGCAAAAAAGGCTTGTAAGTTGGATGAGAGAAGTCCATTAGGCTATTAGAAGTTTGATAGAAACACAAATCGTAGAATTATTGGATCCAACTAGGGTGGTAACCGGTCAGGTTGGGTTGGGTTCGGGCTCAACCTATTTATTACACAGGTAGAAAATCTCAACCCAATCCAATCCATTTAATTAAATGGGTTGAGATTTTTCAACACAACCCAACCTGTTACCTAAATAGGTTGATAACGAGTTGACATGTTTACGATTTTCTTAATCCAACCTGTTAAATAAATGGGTTGAATCTGGGTTTGACCCATTTAATTTTAAAATTTTAAATAAAAAAAGGACAAGACTATTTAATTTTTTTTTTGAATAAAACACAACCACAAATACAAACAAATTGTTCAAAGTTTGAAAAAAACACAACCACAAAAAATATATTGTTCAAAATAAGTTAGATTAGACTTTGGAGGCGATAATGGAGTAATGGACTAAAGGGTGTTTTTAGGGTTTCATATTGATTAAAAATAATGGAGGCGATTGGAATTTGGAGTTTTATTTCATGACAGTTGGATTTTTATTTAAGAATAAAACAAAATTAAAAATGTTATAACCGGGTTTTCTACAAACATGGGTCAAGGTAACCTTATGTGTTTAATACGTGAAATATGAACTATATATATGTGAAATATGAACATGATATTGTGCATATGCATATTTGAAAAGATGGCATGATGTATATGTGAGTTATACATAAATGTGTGTGGTGTGAAACATACATGAGGTGTTGCATATATGTGATAAGATATTCTGGTGGAAACATTATTATAATATTTAAAAACTTATACCTTAATGGTTAAGAAATCATGAATTTTATGATAAATAAACCCACCACCCAAGGTTATTTATATTGGATAAAGGATTCACTGCCTATGAGTTTTATAATAATTAAAATAATCTCCACCACCATGGGAGAAGCTGAATTTCATTTGAAGAAAAATTTGTTGAAAGAGAAAAAGAGTGTTGTGGCGGTGAGAAGTGTTCTTGAACAAATCATTTGCTCAAAGCTGTTTGAAGAGCTTGTGATTTGTTGTGTTTTTTAAACTACAGAACCTGTGATTGTTAAGGTGAGTTTTAAAAATACTGTTGATTATACACTGTGAGTTTTTGATGACTAAAACCTTTATATATATTGCTATATAAACTGTTGGGTTTTTGAGGTTGGTTTTGAAGAAAAGATGGTAAAACTATTTTGATAGTTTAATGGTGTTATTATTATATATTTGAGTGTTAAAAATTGTTTTGGAAAAGATAAAGAAGAGATTGCTTCTTTAAAACAGTTTTGGAAATGATATCCTGTTTTGAGGATTTAAAAAGGGATATGATGTTTTTTTGGAGACCATTGAAAGAATAGATTGTGCTTGAGTTTGAATGGTTTTAATGATAAAACTGTTGGTTGAAAACTATAGAGAATATTCTCTTGAGACGATTATGATTTTTGATCTGTCTTCATTTGTAATTAATCTATAGATTTTATGGATAAAACAATGAATGAGGATTCGATAAGATGGTTGTGACTGCGGTCCTTCATCCGAACTAGTTCATAGATTTTGAAGAAGAAATAAGGGTGGCATATCAAGGAGAGGTGTCTTTTGGAATAWGGGTGGCATATCAAGGAGAGGTGTCTTTTGGAATAAGGGTGGCATATCAAGGAGAGGGGTCTTTTGGAATAAGGGTGGTATATCAAGGAGAGGTGTATCTTTGGATATAAGGATGGCAATTGTGTGTGAATATTATAGCTCTTATTGTTATGTCTTTTAAGACTACAATAGATTTGAGTCCTTACTTCTTTGTGATTTGAGAACTCAAAGATATTGTTCTTATTAGAAATAGTATTATTGATGTTATTGAGAAGGGGAAAACTTGGCCTATGGCCATTGATATTGGTTAAAAGTGTTTTGGAACAGAAGAGTCATTTTTATGAGGAATCAGAGGGGCTCTGGTTGTTCCTTGTAAGGAACCAGAGTGGCTCTGGTTGTTCCTTGTAAGGAACCGAGGGGCTCTGGTTGGTCCTCATTATTGGACCAGAGGATTCTGGTTATTGATTTGGAGAATGAGCAAGTTTTTACTAAATATACTAATTGGATCAGAGGCTTTGTATCTATTGATAAGAACTTCTATGTCAAAATCATATTTTTAGAAGTTTTTAAGAAAAGGATTTTATACTTAGAATCTTTTTATGAAAAACAGACCAGAGAGGCTCTGGTTGGCTTACATGTTGAACCAAAGAGGCTATGGTTGATCATGTATTTTGAACCAGAAGCTCTGGTTAGTACAACCAGAGGCTCTGGTCGAGGAACCAGAAGCTCTGGAAGAGAGACTAGAGGGGGTCTGGTCCTAGTTATGGAAATATATTCCATGTCTGGTTAGTACAACCAAAGGCTCTGGTCGAGGAACCAGAAGCTCTGGAAGAGAGACCAGAGGGGCTTTGGTCCTGGTTATTGAAATATATTCCAAGTGTGGTTTGGAACCAGAGGCCCGATGGACCGAAGTAGTATGATTTTAGTTTTGCTATATAAGATGAATTATTTGAAATAAATATTTTGGTGATCTTCACCCTGTAGTACATCAAAGGGAACCTCACTAGACATACATGTCTAACCCTCATTTCGTGTTTTCAAAAATATGTATCCAGGTATAATGATAATAAGGGAAAAAGCATTACGTGAATTACTTCCCTATGTGCTTAGCTGTGTTGGAAGCATGGATGCTAGGATATAAGAACATGTACTTTTGGAATTTTTGGGTTGCGTATTTTACATTGTAAACTCTTATATCAAGGACCTATGTGGGGAAAAACATGTATTATATATATGAAATATGTGTTATATGCAATATATGGATTTGGGGGTATTACAGAGTTGGTATTAGAGCCTGAGTTTAAGGGATTTAGGTTTTCACATGCATGATACCTAGACTTAAACTATTTCATTGCATATTAGTGTCCGAGACATAGTTAGCACCTCTGGAATAAATATAATAAGTTAAAAGATCAGGGTGTAAGGTATTTTCGGATTACATCTGGCCAATGTAATTTTGAATCTACAGGTAAATGTGAAAAATATGTGTTTTAACTTTGTTATCTACAGATGGCTAGTAGATCAAGAAGGTCAGAAAGGATCACCCGCCCCAATGAAGAAGAATCCCCTGTTGCTCCTATTGGCACCTCTGAGGGCAGAAGCAGAGGCAGAGGTAGAGGCAGAGGTAGGGGGCAGACCAGAGGCAGAATAAGCCAGCCGGAATATGATATGAATCAAGCAGAATCAAACTCTGAAAATATGAATCAAGAACGGATGTCTCACCTAGAATATGTAACAAGAGACATATTAGCTGAAGAAATGGGAAAGCTAAGGGAAACCTTGATTTCTATTTTGAGAAATCCTGCCAGAATAGAGACAGACAGAATTGAAGTTACTCCATCGATTCCAATTCTCAATAATAGGAAAGGAGATATAAAGATGTTTCTAACTTGTAAACCACCAAACTTCTCGAGAGAAAGAGATCCAATTAAAGCTATGTGTTGGATCAAATAGATAGAGTCTGTATTCAATACCATCCGATGTACAGAAACAGATAAAGTCAGATTTGCAGTCTCTGTGTTGAAATCAAATGCGTTATTTTGGTGGGAAGTAGAATCCTTAGCCAGAACAGATATTTTACAAACTATGACATGGCTAGAGTTTGTCAACAGATTCAAGGAGCAGTTTTGCCCAAAAGCTGCCATTAGACAAATGGAAGAAGACTTTCTAAAATTGGAACAAGCAAACAGAACTGTAAGGGAATATACAGAGAAATTCATCGAATATTCAAGATTTGCAGAACATTATATTTCCTCGGAATCTAGAAAAATGGAAAGGTATATTTGGGGATTGAAACCATCAATCCGAGAATTTGTTATAGCCATGAATCAAACTACATTTTCATTGACCGTTGATGCAGCGGAGGTAACAGAAAAAGAAACAAAAATAGACAAGAAGAAGGGAAAGCAATAGAAAAGAGGAAATGGGAAGGTCCATCAACCGGATACAAAGGACCAAAAGTTGTAAAACTTGGAAACAGGCCCATACAAAGATCCAATGAAAGGACTTGTTCCCGATGTCATCAAGTTCATYAGGGATAATGCAGGATTGAGCTAAGGAAATGCTATAAATGTGGTGAAACAGGTCATTTGTCGAATGTTTGCCCAACAATAAAAATGTGTTTTAATTGTAATTCTCCAGATCACCTCAGACCAAATTGTCCTCAAATGAAAGCCCCACATTTAACCATGGGGAGTAATACATCAACAGGCCGAGGAAGACCAAATATGGGCAGAGGAGCAATGGGTGGGGCGCGGGGTCGATCTTTTCAAATGACCAAACATGAAGTAGAAACTACACCCGATGTAGTAACAGGTACATTTTTCGTGAACTCCTTACATACTAAAGTATTATTTGACTCGGGTGCAAACTTCTCATTTGTATCCCCATCATTTGCCTTTTGTGCTCGTATGAATTCTGTGCCACTTGACGATAAGTTAGTAGTTGATACTGCTAACGGTCAAGTATCTGTGACTTATATGTTTAAAAACTGCACTATCATGATTAACGATTGTGAGCTACCCATCCGATTGTTTCCCATGCCTATGAAGGAATTTGATGTGGTAGTAGGAATGGATTAGTTGGCAGAAAATAAGGCCAGCATCGTTTGCAATGAAAAGATGATTAGAATTATGTTACTTAACAGAGGAACACTTGTAATGTATGGTGATCATCAGGATCATCGTACCACTTTTCTATCTGTGATGAAAGCCAGAAAATGTATCCAAAGGAAATGCCAAGTATTTA